AATCCTTGAAACTGACAGTGTCCTCACCACCAGCAAACATGAATCCACCGCCAGTTACAAGCAGTCGTCTGGTAATAGGAGGCACACGTTCATAATCTGCTTGAGGAGAGTATGATGTTGCCACATAGAGTTGAGTAGATGGGTTACCATTGTACTTTCCAGGTGCAACAATGCTTGCTGTTGATCTTGTACCATATGATACAACCTGATTTCTCTGATTGCCATCACCAACTAAATCTCTTGGTCTCCTTGACTGGCATTGATCAATCCCAGCTGACACCTTAAATTCACTGCCACACGTGATAAGCCTGCCATCGTGCAATACCAAAACCTTATTGTAATTCAGGCAAGTCTCTTCATAGCACGTGGCCGTGCTTATATTATCAACCTGCTTCAAGTCCTTGTCCAGCTTGTACAGGTAATTCACCGCCCCGACGTACACCTCCCCAGTGTCCTGCTGGACAACAAAGTGATCTAGGCGAGTTATCACAGTCGCTGATGATTTGATGGGATTGTCAAAGGATGCAATTTTGTGTTCACTGATATTCCCTGTCAACTGTGTGAACACACCAAGGATGAAGGATTCCACCAGGAGCAGCTGAAACGTTGAGAACATCTTGCATCTTGCTCTTGCCTCCATCTCTGCAAGTTCTTTATGGCCTCATGTGATGCCGATGTCTTGAAACCTACAAAAGAAATTTAGAACTCGACACAACAACTTCAAATGAAACAAATACGGCGATGTTATTGAAACCCAACAAACCTCTCATATAGATGGGCTCAATGGGGAAGGGACAACGGTGGCCATGCTGCCCGTCGAAAAAGGAAGAAATATTGTTGGTTTAGCTAACGAGAGACAGGCGATTTAGGCGGGTTCATTTCATTTCTTTCCCTTCTAAAAGTGTGTTTAAAACATCAAAATGTAGCCTAAACTATTCCAATTCCACGACTCCCATTTGCCCCCAATAAAACATTTTATTCTGGATCAACCGTTAAAATACAGATTGGAAGATGTCTAATTGATGTCTTGTTTAGAGATTTAAATACGAGACAAAAAGTCCAACCGATCGTAGCGTAGACGGAAACCGACTATGTTGATTTATTTTCATGGCGCGGTGCCGATTTATCTTTTGCGTGGAGAGTGGAGAGTTGAAAGTACATTTTGTTTCCTTCACCAAGTCAGCCCTTACCACAACCGGAAGAGAAGTTGATGACAGTTAAAAAGAGAGACAGCAGCCAATAACTTTACCGGAGGCATATAACAGTTTGAGCAATAGAAGTGTGTTCATCAAAATTCCTGGGAACAAATTGATTTTATAACCTTCCAGGTTTCCATTAAAACCCTGACAAGACCCAATGCTCTTTGAAATCGTGATAAAGAAAAATGTAGTCCGTTACAAGATTGACATTTTTGCAACAACTTTTTTGTTCAATACAAGTCTTATTGGATACCATGCTGTAAGTACAATTTAGCCACACGTGTTCAATAGTAAAATTTAAATGCTTCAAGTGCCAACCAATTAATGGATACCGATAAGATGTGAGTTCTTTTCTTTTTCTCNTAACTTTACCGAAGGCATATAACAGTTTGAGCAATAGAAGTGTGTTCATCAAAATTCATGGGAACAAATTGATTTTATAACCTTCCAGGTCTCCATTAAAACCCTGACAAGGCCCAATGCTATTTGAAATTGTGATAAAGAAAAAACATAGTCAGTTACAAGATTGACATTTTTGCAACAACTTTTTTGTTCAATTGAAGTCTTATTGAATACCATGCTGTAAGTACAATTTAGCCACACGTGTTCAATAATAAAATTGAAATGCTTCAAGTGCCAACCAATTAATGGATACCGACAAGATGTGAGTTCTTTTCTTTTTCTCTCTTACTTTCTTCTTTAGGCCTACTCTTCTCTACTTTTTTTAATTCTCTTATTCTAAAGATTTGGTTTTTTTTATCCTGCTAATCTAAATGTATGATCAAACGTATTATCAAAAGTTAGTTACAAAATATTTCTGCCACTGAATAGCCGGATCTTTCTCAGTTTGTTCCTGGTGTTCTAAGCCGTAACAAACTATTATGATATTTATGCTGGTAGTGGCGTTGTTTAAAGTAGGCCTAATTGCTGATTTTTCCCACTGGAAAGTGGGATCAGTTGTTTGTTCGGAAACGTCCTCGAATCACCTAAGTCTCAGCGACAACAGATGTCATAACAATTATACTATTATTCGGCAGTAATTATGTACTCACACGTAGCGTCGAACCCTCCCAGGCAATTCTACTCTTTGGTCTCGTTAGCAGCGCAGAAAGATGTAAATTCTCTCACGGACACAGTTCCCAAAATACTATTACGTAGCTCCACCAGGGCCACGCATTCAGATCTCCAGAGTATTCATATGCAGAAGCTGTCGTTGTGGGGCGGCATTATGTGGAGACCATTCCCTTTCGTTGTTGAATTCCAAAATGGATTGAACTTGTTCCATCAAGAGTAACATACCCTGTCAAGCTGTAGTAATGGTCACATGCCTTTCGATGGGTAAATTGGTGCAATCGAAACCTTCGGTAAATTAATGTACAACTAATGTACATGTATATCTAGAGGAGTTTTAGACTATTAAATAGGTCCCCACATTTCCTGTTTATACAAGTATGACATATTTTTGTTTTAAAGTGAGTAATTTGTTACCAATTTGTAAAATTGGTGACGTTCATAGATGCACACTTTCAGGTTAAATAACTTAATTAAAACATTAAAAATAAAATGACCAGGTCATCTCCAAAAGCGGGATTTCATCAGCATAAGCATGAAAGAAGAGCTAAAGAAAAAATGGAGAAAATGGGTTAAAGGAAAGAGGTTGTATCCACCATATTAAAAAAAATGCTTATTAAAGGAAAACTTTAGTACTGCCGCTTGTCTATGTAGACAACGTGTTTTGGTTTACCACACTTTATTTTCCAGATAAAATGTAATTAAAGCAACTAACATTATAGTATTTTTGAAATACAACGAAACGAAACTAAGTCTAAAAATTAAGAGTGAATTAAGGGCCATATTACAATATTTGGTGAATGCAATTTATTGATTACTGAGTAAGTATATTTTATTTTGAATATATTTTGATTAACGAGGAATACGCATTCTCATCATCCGGGTAACTCTAAAGTAGCAGATAACTTCGTTGTCGATTGAAGACATTTATTCATTTTGCCCGGCCTCCTCGCCAAAGATTTGTCTCTGTGAACATCTGCACTTCGAGAAAAATTATCTTTGAAGGTACAACCCGGACTAAAATTATAATTACAGACATTGCTTATAACTTTGTAACCCCTGTATTTTTTTGTATTTTTCTCAGGAGAGGTTTCTGTTGTAGGCCTATGATGTGACTAAAACGTGATGTGAAAACAAGTTAGATGGACGTGCTACATTGTTAATAATGTCAGCAGGTGTTTTCGTAAA